GAAAACATGGTTTGTAAATTTGCGGAAGACACCAAGATTAGTGGTATAGTGGACTGCATAAAAGGTTATCTAAGAATACAAAGAGATCATGATCAGTTGGGTCAGTGGGCTGAAGAGTGACAAATGGAGTTTAATTTGGATAAATGTAAGATATTTATATTTTGATAAAACAAACAAAGACAAGACTTATCAAATTAAAAGTCGGGCCTTCGGCAGTGTTGTAGAACAGAGAGATCCAGAGGTTCAGGTACTAATTCTTTGAAGTTTGCATCACATATAGATAAGGTGGTTAAGGCATTAAGCATGCTTGCCTTCATTGCTCAGACCTTTGAATATAGGATTTGGGATGCTGAGATTGTACAGGACATTGGTGAGGCCTCTTTTGGAGTATTGTGTCCAGTTCCGGTCACCCTGTTGTAGGGGGGATATTATTAAAATGGAGAGGGTTCAGAAGAGATTTACCAGGATCTTGCTGGGAATGGAGGGTTTGAGTTATAAGGAGACACTGGATAGGCTGGGACTTTTTTCACTGGAGCATAGGAGGTTGAGAGGTGACCTTGTAGAGGTTTATGAAATAATGAGGGATATAAATAAGATGAATGGCAGATGTCTTTTCCCTAGGGTGGAGGATTTCAAAACTAGGGGACATATTTTTAAGGTGAGAGAAAAAAATATTTAAAGAAGATGTGAGAGGCAATTTTTTTACGCAGAGTGATTTGTGTGTGGAATGAACTTCGAGTAAGTGGTGCATGCGGGTACAGTTGCAACATTCAAAAGACATTTAGGTAAGTGCGTGAATAGGAAATGTTTGTAAGGATATGGGCCAGATGCAGGCATGTGGGACTAGTTTAGTTTGGGATTATGGTCAGCACGGACTGGTTGGACCGAAGGGTCGGTGTCTGTCTCTGACACATACCTTCCTAAATACAAAAACCTGTAGGTCAGAAATGGTGTAAGATATCACCGAAACTCCAGCTCTGTTTTGTATCATGTCAACATTTTTTTGTGCTTGTCCACATTTATGAGTAAAATTATTTAAGGAAGAAAGATGTTACAAAACGTTTATATATTTCTGGCTTCTTGTTTAGAATAGACAAATGCAAAATAATGAAACAGAAACACAACAACTATCTTAGCTATAGAAAGGTAAGTAAGGCATGCATAAAGATATGTAATTTTACAACATAGCAACGAGTAAGTCATTCAACCTTTGAAATATGTTGAACCTTTTAACTTGATCTGGCCAGTCTGTATCTCAAATCTATTTTCTAAATGGATTGGTTGCAATTTTAAGATTGCGCCCTCTTGGGTCTGCATTCTCCCGCCTGAAGAAATAGTTTATCATTTTCAACCTATTGATTTGACTTCTTTATTTTAAATGCATTGTTTAGATCATCCCCCAAATTTCTAAACTCAAAGGATTTTAGGCCAAGTCACTGAAAATGGTCAACACACTTTAGTCCTTTATCCATGGCATCCTTGTGTTCTATTTAAAGCACAGATAAATAAATGAAAAGGCAAATGACCGGACTGGCTGTTGCCATGAGAAATGGATGCACTAGGAACTCCAAGCCATCATGAGAAGGGCAAAGAGGCAGGAACTGAATCCAGTGCTGTTGGCACCAACCTGATCTGGACTGTTTGGGCAGCCATCACTTGTGGCTTTGCTCAAGTTGTGACAGACAGGAGAGCTCTACTCTTCCCTCACTCTGGAAGAAGAGCTGAAAGAGAAGAAGAAACAGACCAAGCAGGCATGGCTGGGGCTGGGGCTGGGTCTGGCCATGGATGCTAGCAGCATCAAACACTGTATCCTCACAAAATCAAGTCTCTCAGCTCTATTGGTGGTAATTCTGTGCCATTGTGTGAGCAACTGAATTTAAATCTCCCCTTTTAGATAACTTTTTCACATTGCAGTCATCACTACAAATGGCTCCTCAATTTATTTTTGACATTTATGTAGAGATCCCAGCCTTAATGTTGCCTATGCTTTTAACTTGAAAATTGTCAATTGTTGCTCAGGAAGTCTTGTAGCATAATGGGTAGCATCCCTGCTTCTGAGCCAGAAACTCGGTACTTGATGGCCAAGAAGGTGCATTCATAAAATGGCCAAACAGGTTGAATATTAACTAGTAAATCCTTCCAAAGACAGGCTGCAAGAGTGGGAGAAATTCCCAGTCATCCATATGATGATGGACGGAATGCTGAAGACTTTAATATCCATATCGCCAGACTACAATTTGTACAGGAATGTGTATAATGCTACATAATTTGAGACTCCTTGTCCAGGGAGCAGGGGATGCAGTTGGTCAGACAAACAGTGCGGATCAGGTTGATATCAACATTACTGGGTTCAGTCCCTGTTGGCTTGGTTCTGAGGAAGGGTCAGTGGACCCAAAACATTAACTCTGATTTTTCTTCACAGATCCTGCCAAACCTGCTGAGCTTTTCCAGCTACTTCAGCTTTTGTTCCTGATTTACAGCATCCACAATTCTCTGTTTTTATTAAGCTCAAAAAATGAGCTACTTCCTCATCTAGAATTATCACAAAATGTAGTGGTGTTGTATATGAGTTTCCATTGATTGAAGCATGGTTTGTTTGCAAGTTGAATTTTGATACGTATTTGCATTACAAGATTCCCAGTTGTTTCTATTACTGATAAGCCACCTCATCCCCCTTCTTAGTGCTTTATAGCAGTTATCTTTTTACAGCATTACTAGTCAAGAAAAGAATTTGATTTCGTTGAAGTACTTATTGGCTTCTTCTATCTATTTACTAGATCCCTTGTTACCTTTTCATTTTGTTATTAAAGTATCCTGTTAACAAAGAATCACCGTCAACAAGAAAATAACCCATATTATGCAAAGAGGTCGTTGCATAGTAACAAGCTAGGCAGTTCAATAATCTCATTCAGAAGATGGTACTTCCACCAATGCACTCTTCCTTTACTACAGTACCGAAAAGTTATACGAAATTATGCAATCATATCCTAAAGTGGGGTTTGAACTCGTTTAGGAGTTTGGGTGACTGTATGACACTGCTAACTAAATGTAAGCTACGAATCCATCTGGCTAGCTAAGAATCAAAATGAGACTAATTAAATATTCAGTTGATGAATTAAAAAAGAACAAAATAAAGTGTCTTTGGGCCTACAACCTCAACGATTGCATGTATAATTTAACCTTCCGTGCATTGCTGGTAAATAACTAAAAGAAAAAGAAGTACGTGTGATTCTTAATAATTGTTAGTGCCTTACGTCCTTAGCTACAGATAGGTGACAGATGTTTGCTAAGTATATATGAATTTCCCTGCATTTGCAAGCATATCCAAAACATTTAATACTAAATTAGGTCATGTAGTCAAAAGCATGTGACAGCAGCTAGTCAGAAATTGCTGTTGGACAATGTAGAGTATCTGACTGGGGTAATATTTTTTATACAATGAGGTGCTGTGTTTTACATAGGATAATCATGATATCCTGATAAAGCCACAGATCCCTCAGCCCAATGTGAATAATACCACAGGTGATTCGGGAATAATTAGCTAGGCGCAGAAATATATTGAACTAATTATTAGACACAGTTATGGAAATTGAGCTTTTTGTAAAGCAGAAATGAAAGAGGCCCTCGGGGGGGGGGGGGTGGAAAATCTTTAGATATAAACAAAAAAGGAAAATATGGTGTATGTTAGAGATTGAAAAAGCACAATGTACTGGAGAAACTCAGCAGGACTGGCAAAATCTCAGAGAGAAACGGTGTCAAGGTTATGAGTCCTGTATGACTCACCTTTGAAAATCAGTACTATTTTCCCATATCTTGGGTGCCTTCTCTTGACAAAGGCCTAGAAATTCATCATTGCCTCCAGTGTGATCGTTGCTGATTGACTGAAGAAGAATATTTGAAAACTAGGAACTCAAACCTGAGACTAACATTATGGTTTACCAGGTAGCAGTGATTCCCATGTTTTTACATGGTTCAGAGCCTTGGACAACTGCCAGCAGGTACCTTCATACGCTGAAGCACCACCAATCTGTGCATATCAAACACCCACAAAGAGTAATAGAATAATGGCTAGATAATGTGATGTTAATTTTAGGATAAACATTGGTTTATTAGAGATACTGGGATAGCTTAATTCCTGGAAGTGGGATTTTAAATTAGAACACTGCAACCCCATGACAAATGGTATCACTTTGAAATATCATTATGTCCCATGGTATCTTGAAACAGTATGATGCAAAGTTCTCAAGCTGGGAACATTCCATAAATTTTCAATAACATAGGAGTAGCAGGAGGCCATTCAGCCCCTTGAGTCTGTTGCAACATTCAATGAGATAATGGCTGGTCTGTGACCTAACTTCACTTACCTGCCTTTGGCCTGTCTTTGAAATGGCATAGTCTCAGAACAAAAAGGTGCCAATTGAAGACTGAGGTGAGGAGAAATTTCTTCTTTCAGGACATGGAAAGCCTTTTGAACTCCTGCCACAGAGAGCTGTGGAGGCAAAGTCCTTTTGTATATTTAAGGCTGACATGGTTTGTTGATCGGCAGGGGACTCAAAGGTTACAGGAAAATACAAGAAAGTGAATCTAAGATTGTTGGATCAGCTATGTAGTATGAGGCTGGAGGTGGGGATTCACGCCCTACCTGCTCCAGAGGTGTGTAATAACATCTCTGAACAGGTTGATTAGAAGAAAAATGAATCTATTGAATGGCAGAGCAAGCTCGAGGCCGAACGGCCTACTCTTGTTCCTATTTCTTTTAGTTTATTATCCCGATAATAAGACACCCTCCTCGTTTCAGACCCAAGCTGCTGGTGCCAAGGACAGCCCGTTCCCCGGAACTAGCAGTAGCTGTAGCAGCATGGCAACTTACAGGGGCGGGGACCTTGCTGCTGATTGGCTGGCAGTACGTTTCACCGTTACAATGGGGTGGGGACTTTGGTGGTGGTTGGGCGGGCGTACGTATCACCGTTAAAAAGGGGGGGGGGGGGCGGGTGATTGACGGGCGCTGCGGAGGTCACGTGCTCATGTCCAGGCTGGTGCGTGGCCGTAGCGGCGCTGGGTGTGCGGGCAAAGGACTGTTACCGCTGCAGGCTGTACTGGGAAGCGTGGCAATTTCCTCCGCGAAAGAGATATAGACACTATATATATATTACACACACATTATAACAGGCTTGAGAGCATTGTTGTTTAAGAATGGGCGTTGAAATCGAGACAATATCGCCAGGAGACGGTAATTGTGCCATCCCAAAAGCTCTTTATTGTGTTTTTAACTGGGTTTTGCATTGCAGGAAGCTGCCTTGTCGTGGTAGTCTAGACAAATTTGGTAGCAATGCAGTGTGTGTGGATTTTTAAATGGCATTTGCTGACAGCTGCGTAAAGACTAGTACTGTACTATAAAGGAGCGATAAGGACTGTATGATTTCACTCTGTCTGGCTTTTCGTTAGTAGTATTGTTGCTGCTGTTGGTATCCGTGCTAAGGGGAAATGATTAGGCGGGTTCGTATTTTCAACAAAGCGTGTTCCTGAAAAAGGCATTTGAACTTTAGTTCCGGCAGCAGAAATCAAATCTTCCAAAGGCATAAAGCCTGAAGGTAAGCACTCGTTACGAAAGTCATGAAATGTAAAGCCGTGGAGCCAGTCGAAAAAGCAACCTAACATTTTAGCAACTAATTGGACACGCCATTTTTTTTTCTGAAAGTTAACGTGGTTTTGTGCTATAACCTTAAAACCACTATAACATCTAGTTGGGCAATCTATAGCAAAGAATTGCGACATACCTTACAGAAACGCAAAAATGTCAAAGGTACTAATTTCATATCTTCTTTTTCAGGCAGGACATTTCCAAAAAAGGGCCAGACATGTGTTGTTCACTATATAGGTAACGTATACTATGTTTCATATGAATCATACGTTCAGAAAGAATGTCACCAGTGGGTGGTAATGGCAGTTTTCTGAAGGTAGTGACTATGATGGGGTTTTTAAGCCTGTTGTGAATAGTAAGGCCTGGTCTTGAATTTGCAGTCAAACCCACACACAGCTATTGATTTTTGACCATAACACATGGCAAAACTGCTGAGAGGTGGGTAGATGCTTTCCCTGTGAGGAAGGAAAAATTGCTCTCAGCTGTTTTTATACTTCTTGACTACTGATTTTAGTATTGCTGGCTGTGTACCAAGGGCAGTTCACTCATTCACCCAGAGATAGTGCCTAACAAGAGGTGATGCAACAAAGGAGAAACGTTTTAAAGAAAAGGGAATCTTATTAAATGTATCATCTGATATGTGATTAGTAAACTATTAATGCCTCAGTCATTTTTCGAGTAACTGTCTTCTGTATAATTTTTATTTTGAATAACTGCATCTCCAATGGTGAAAGCAGAGCTCAGTGTTGCAAGTAAAATAAATTGCCAAGTGGTGTGATCTCTTTAAAAGATTTTAATCTGTGAGCACCGACAAACTAAGTACTGTTGCTTTTTGCAAACTAATTTTGCAATAACCTAAAATATCTAACAAAATAGTTGATAGAATAAATAAATATACGAGAACATGTAAAATTGAATTGATTACTTCCTGTCATTCAACAAAATGTAATTCAATGTTGAAGGCATTTATAATGCATTACTTTCAGAGCAGGGATGTGATTGATGACTAAGTGACTATTATATAATTGTTTCATGTACCTGGTAGGATGTTATACTAGCTTATGTAACATGAAGTTTTTCCACATCGGCTTAAATATGTTTACTATTGAAATCTTCCAAACATACTTTTAGCACTCTGCTTCTCGGATGTAAAGTACTCAAAATCTTGCTTTCTTTTCACTTTGGAAAAGTAAACTTACCAGGTAAGTTACTGCTTTCTCACTAACTTTAAAACTTATAATTGGTTTTCTGCCTGGCTCACATTTTCTTTACACTCACACTTTCTTCATTTGGTTTTTGCCTTTTGATCTTAAATTTTTAAAGACTTCAGTGAAAAGTGTCTTCCAGTGGTCAAATTCCACTCTCCTGACCACTTTTTTAAATAGAAAATTGGAGGTAGATAAAAAGACAATAGTCTTTTCTGTAAAATGTCAGAAGAATCTCCTAGGATCTGATGTTATGCCAGTGTTTGACTAATTATAAGAAATCTCAAATCTGCTTCAAGATGACAGCATATGATTGGTGATTTGCCCCGAGTTGTTTCTCTGAGGGAGTTTTGGTAATAGTTTACCTTAAGGCAGGTCTGACTTACGCTAATAAAAGCAAAGTATGGCAGATGCTGGAGATCAGAATTAAAAATAAAGTGCTGGACGTGCTCAGCAGGTCTGGCATCATCTCTCTCCACAGATAATACCAGACCTACTGAGTTTCTCCGGCACTTTTGCTTTTTGTTCTGACATACCATAGCCTGGTTTTGTGGGACCTGTGTGGGATTGGTAGCAGATGTTTGCAGTCCTGCAAGCCAACAGTTACTAGGTCCAAGTTACTATGTTCCTATTACATTCTGTAATTTTAGATGGTTAAAATCTAGTTGTGCTGCTTTGCACTTGTGAGCCTTGCTACCCCCAAGTTCGCCTCCAAGCCAGTCACCATTCTGACTCAGAAATAAAGTTCTGGCGCTCCCTCCGTAATGGCATTGAGGGTCTACATACAGCACATGGACTGCAGTGGTTCATTAAGACAGCTCACGACCAGCATTCCCTCTAATTTTCTTTCCAGCTCTGTAGGCAGCAGTGACCTCAGACTAGAAATCCCCAGAACTTATTATAGTTTGGTTCTATACGGCTACATTGGTCAGGTTGCAATTATTACTTTCCTCCTTTTTGCAATGCTGTCAATCTTTTTAATCAAAAAGTAGTGCTGAAATTTTACTGGTTATAGTCCTTGCTGCTGTGTGTAATCTCCTAATGAGGGTAGAATTAGTTTTAGTTCTGTCATCATGTCTCCATTGAATATTAACTGTTTGTGACTGAGAGACTCAGTTGAAGTTTTGCTGCAATAAATCAGGACTTTGGGGTGTTGGCTGATGGGGTGAGAAAGAGAGCATCTGTATTGCTTAGCAATAATTGTTGATCTGTTATATAACTCTGATTTTTCGACTTGGAAAAAAGGAAGTCACCCCCCCACCCCCATTATGTATCATTAAACTATTCGTGTGTTGTTTCTTTAGCATTCTTAAAGTCTGCTCAGTGGTTCTAGATATGTTGCTCTCTGGTCCTTCTGAAACCATTTCTCTATGGCTAACTTAGTGTTTCAATGGAGAATGATGTGGTAGTGAATATGAGATCAGAAATGTTTCCATATGAATATGCTGAACCTTTTGGTAGTCAGTCTTGGCCAGAAAAGCAGTGGAAACCCTGTGGTTATCTTCAATTACTGAGAACATTATCTGCCCTTTTACCGAAATGAGTTGTCATCCTGAAGGTAAACTGTCAGCGGCAGCAAAGGCACACACTTGCTTTTGACTCCTGTGTGTGTGTTTTCTATCACAACAATTGGCTTCTCCATTGGCCAGCTGAATACACTGACCAATGCCGTGTGACATCTTGCTTGCAGTGTAATATAATGTGAGCAATCTGACCATCACACTGGCTGGACTCAGTATCTTTTATCTGAATCCAGGAACCTTTGGAGAATTCAAAAAACGGAAACCAGTGTTTTCATCATACACTGGTCCTGCTTTGTAAAGCATTGTGCACTTGGCTTATTGACACACAATACCCTGCACTATGTAGAGGACTGTTTGGAAGTTCTCCCTGAAATCAAGTTTTTAGTACAAGTCTTTTAGCCGCAGTGCCAAGAGGTAAGAAAATTCAACCAGCTATTTCATCATTGATGTTTATTTAATGACATTTGCTTAAAATGTGTGTGCAGATCAGGCTTTGCTGTCTTTTTGTCTGTGTTTTGGTTGTAAGGACTGGTATGATTATGGAATTGTGGCTGACTGTGTAGCACCAGCTTCAGAAAGTGAGCAAAGTCATACCAGTCAAAATAATTAATACTTTGCTCATTTTATTTCTCTTGATTATTTGTCACAGGGTTTAGTGTGAATATTCCTTGGTTCAAGTTTAGGATGTGTTCACAGACTTTCAAAAACAGCAAGATGTAATTGTTTTAATGTTTAAAGTCATGATTGCTGAATACTAATAATGTAGTCTTAATCAGGAGGGCAAACAGATGACCAGGTTTCAGATTTTATCCAAAACTATTCCTGACCAGTAACAATAAAGGAATAACAGTCTTGCACCTGAGCTGTGTTCTACATCTCTTCCAGTGTTATGTTCAACATCTAAAATCTTCCATTTTTGAATTAGAATTTTTGAAAGTTAACCTGGCCTAATGAGTTTTCACATGCCTTTAATTTAAAGAAAATATTTTGTCCTGTTTTATTTTTCTGGTTTGTTTTTTATATTCCAACATTTGCCATATTGTTTTCATGGGTTTCTTTTATGCTAACTTCATGGTGTTTTAATTAACTTCCTTTTTACATTTTTCTTTGTCATATTTTACTTCCATTTGTTTCATTTCTTCTTTTTCTGTTTTTAATTTGGTTGCTGTCAATTTTTTTTTCCCCCTAATGTTGTCTGCTACCAGATGAGTCATTCTCTGGACCAAAATTCTAAAACTCCCGCCCGCATCACGGGTCTACCTTCATAATGGGGCTGTCGCAGTTTGTTATGGCAGCTCACCACTGCCGTCTCCGAAGTGATTAGACATGGACAATAAATGCACCCTTTTATCGGCACTATCCACATCTGATAACTGATTTTTCTGGTTGCATTTAGTTTATTCTAGGAGGTAAGTGGCTGAACATTAGTATTGAAAAATGTGCATTGAAGGATGTTATGAATAGCAGCCTTTTATAGGTTGCATGTTTTGGAGCACTCGCTTCACGTGCTTTTTCGGGACTTTTTATTTTGTTACAAGCTAATGTTATTCAATGGCCAAAGTTTTCTAAAATGCAATAAGTTGATACCATAAGACACAGGCGCAGAAATTAGACCATTCCGCCCATTGAGACTGCTCTGCCATTCAATCATGACCGATAAGTTTCTCAACCCCATTCTCCTGCTTTCTTCCCGTAACCCTTGATCCCCTCGACAATCAAAAACCTACCTATCTCCATCTTAAATATACTCAATGACTAGGCCTCCACAGCCTTCTGTGGCTGTGAATTCCATAGATTCACCACTCTTTGGCTGAAGAAGTTTCTCCTTATCTCCGTTCTAAAAGGTCTTCCCTTTACCATAAGGCTGTGCCCTCGGGTCCTAGCCTCTCCTACCAAGGGAAGCATCTTCCCAACATTCACTTTGTCCAGGTCATTCTGTATTCTGTAAGTTTCCATTAGATCCCCTCCTCATCCTTCTAAACTCCATCTAGTATAGACTCAAATGTTCCTCCTATGTTAATTTTTTCATTCTTGGGATCGTGCTCGTGAACCTCCTCTGAACCCGCTCCAGGGCCAGTACATCTCTCCTGAGGTATGGGGCCCAAAACTCTGCTCAACACTCCAAATGTGGCCTGGCCAGAGCCTCAGAAGTACATCCCTGCTTTTATATTCAAATCCTCTCAAAAGGCATTTGCCTTCCTAACTACTGACTCAATCTGCAAGTTTACCTTGCGAGAATCCTGGACTAGAAACTCCCAAGTGCCTTTGCACTTCAGACTTCTGAATTTTCTCCCCATTTAGAAAAAAGTCCAGGCTTCTATTCTTCTTACCAAAGTGCATGACCTCACACTTGCCCACACAGTATACTATCTGCCACTTTGCCCACTCTCCTAACCTGTCCAAATCCTTCTGCAGCCTCCCACATCCTCAATACTACCTGTCCCTCTGCCTATCTTTGTATCATCTGCAAACGTAGCCAGACTGCCCTCAATTCCTTCATCTAGATCAT